TTCTAGAAGTAGTCTTCACTCTTCAGTTAGTCCTTGTGACTTGGAAAGTAAATTGGAAGTTTGTAAAGAAGAAAGATTAGATCAATTCTTAGTCGTACTCAATTCAAAAGCATAAATGGTACCAAATAGCAGCTTGCTGCTCAGTAGGTGGGTGGTGATGTAGTCTGGTGGGCACAGGGTTAAAATGAATTTACCAAAACATTCACAAATACTGTCAAATCAAATGGGTTATTGATGACTACTTACACCAACCTTAAATCTCCTAGAAATATTTCTATTACTTTTGTCCTGAAACGAAGCACTAGTGGCAAAGTCTCCGCCTTGTCGCTCTGAATCAACATGAAGCACTGTTCTGTCTAGTAAAGAGGTAGTTTTTATTGCAAGCACTGATTTTTTTTTTTTTCTAAAGGACTATTGCAAACAAGGATAGAACACTTGTCACAACTATAAAACACTTTTATGTGTACAAAGAGCTGAGTTAAACTGCATCTATAGATCAGTGTTTTACAGCTTCAAATATGCTGTAAAGATAAAATACGTACTTAGTTTTGTGAATCAGATCCAAGATGTTAAACTGTAGAAAAGTTTGAGAGAAACAGCTATTTATAGATGTGGCTGCAGAGTCTCTGAATCAGATGTATCTTATTTTCCCATTCCAAAGTTTTAAATATTTTTAAAATGTACATAAAATATGGAAGCAAGATTTTGTATATCTACTTCCATCAAAGCTTTAAAAAATTAATTGCTTTCTTTTTTTTTAATCTAACCATTACATTTACTGTTCAAGAACTTTGATTTTGGGTTTAGAAGACAAGCAAAATTTCATGTTAGAAAACCAATGCAAATATTTTACATGAATTTTATCTTCCAAAATCTTTTGGGGTTTGTGGTAGCAATGTGTCTTGCCATGTCTGTAGCTACATGGAGACAGATGCCTATTTAATTTTTGCACTGATGAGTGCTAATAAAGATTTCTAGAGAAAACGGGCCGTAGTTCAAGAAATGAGAAATCCATTTCTATCGCTGAATTAAGGTCTGACCCAGTGCAAGGTGCCTAGCAACGTGGCTTTTCTTCTTAGCAAACTCATTTGGTGATGGAGTTGTAGCAGGCAGTTTTGAGATAATGTGGTGCCTCTTTGCTTGGCACGGCAGCATTCCTAATGCTTCATGTCATTCTCCGAGTGAAGAAGACTACCACCAAGCGTGGAATGAATTCCCCAGGCTTCTCTGGGTGTCCTTTCCATCCTGGACTTTTTCCTATCTTTTGCAACACCATTTTCTGTCCTTAGTCACCGTTGTTTTTTGCAAGCACTGGCTGTTTAGCAGCACTGACTACTGAATATGCTGTTCCTGTTTCTGGCTGCCTGTGGCTCAGGGCGAGCGGGGAATGATGTTTCTGGCTCAGGAAACTGGCATCTATGTTGGCTGGAGTCCTGCGTATGTCCTAGCCTGATCCCTAATTCTGATGAGCACTGTCTGAAAGCTGCGTAATGAAACGGAGAGGCTCTAATTATGTGCTAGTCTGCTGGTACTGAACTGTAAATGGCATCCTGACGCTTCAGCAGTGGAAGGCAGTTTCTTAATGAAATTGGCCCCTGCAGTATGTTAGGCGAACAGAGCTGTAACTTTTTAATGACTTCGTGAAGACAGGTCATGGTTTTATAATTATCTCCATCTCTGAATATACAGGAGTATCATTCCATTCCTCCCTCAAAGGGTTTTACCCTGCTTTCTCCCAGATTGTAGAAATCGCTTAACGGTTGGGATTGGTGTGTCCTTGGTGTTTATTTTAGTCATTGTAGACGTAAATGCTTTTTACCCTTATTATTTGTATACTATTTGACTGCCAGTAAGCGAATTTGCAGCACTTAAGCTGGTATTTATTAATGACAGGATGCACAGTCTGACCTACTTTTCTGTGAACTACCAGCAGTGAATATAACCCCTTGGAAGAGAAATGAGAAAACTGCAAGAAAGACTGGTATAAATGATTCACAGAAGACTATATGATCAAATACTATTGAATAATACAGCAAAGCTGTATCACTGTATCTACTGGAAAGTATAAAATTTGGTTTAAATAAATATATTACGTGTGCTGTTCAGAAGATGCGGAAAATAGCAACCGCTTCTTTGATCAAATCCAAAATCAGAGGGGTTTTTTTTGTGTTAGAAAATTATTTTCCATGCACTGAAATAGTGTGATTTTAGAATTATACGCATATAGTGGTGACCCTGAGAAGTCTTTGTATCATGGTCATTCTACAAATAGAGAAAGCTTAATTTTTAAGAGAAATTTAAAAGGGAGAGTTTAATTTGAAAGGGTTTTTTTTTTGTGTGTGTGTGTTTGTTTGTTTCCCTGCTGGTCAATTCTGCCATGTGTAAAAAAAAAAAACCAAAAACCGCAACCAACCAAAACAAAACAAAAAAAGCCCCTTATTGCCTCCCTGTTCCTGCAGTAGTGCACGTGCGTGTTCATTACTTTCCCACACATTGTACATCCTTCAGGGAGCCTTTGTCAAAAGTGATTTTAAAAAAGGCATAGGCAGAAGGAATAGTACTTCACTTTGTGAAAAGCTGCAGGTTATTGGATATCTTGTGTATTCCTCTGTGTCACTGTCTGAGGGGATGTTTGTTAAGCAGCGCAGCCAGGCTCCTCATAAATACCAATTGCAGTAAGTGTGGAGAAAAAAGACAGTAAGATTGAAGATACTGGCATCTCTGTTCAGCCTTGCCTCTTCTACATCCATCTCTTACAGTGGTTGCAACTCAGGAGTGTATGAAATAACTCTGAGTTATACTCAGGTGGTAAAAGAGATTAAAATGACAAGATGTATAGGAAAAAAAAATGCATCTCACCCTGCTGGGATTAACTAGACATCTTTGGGCAATTAAATTTTAGCCTTCATGGTCTTCAGCTCCTGACTGTCAGGAACATTTGGCTTCTAAGCTAGATACTGCAAAAGCTGAAAAGATGGTCCACCAAGCAGGTGCAGACTCTGAAGAGTGCATTTCATCCCAGAGGTGGCCAGAGATTTTGAAAAGCTGTAGGCTTGCAGTCGGGTAGAAATTACTAAATTTGGATTTATGAGCTGCATTGGTTCTTTACTTACAGACGTGTGGAAAAGTTAAAAGTCTTAAGCACATCAATTAATACATTTTATCCAAGGTTGGGGGGGGGTGGGGTGGGGGGAGATAACTGCTTTCACAGTAATGTTCTATGCCATTTCCTTGTTAGGAGAGAAAAGTACCACAAATTATTGTGAAAGGTTGGTTAAGTAGATTTTAGTTTGAAACTGGTGATTCTGCAATGTATGTTTGGCTACAGCTTTTTACTTAGCAGAGATTAGTTACTCCAATGAAACTGGCAACATTTCTGTACACCTTGCTGACCATACCAAGGGGAGAAAGAAAATCAGCATTTGTGTGTTGGCTGATTTGTCCTAATCTGAGACCTCCAACACTTTTCAGTTACACATCAACTCTAAAGATGTCTTGTTTTTTTCTGGTGGATGACTGTTTACTTACAATTTTACAGTTCTTGTGTGTTACTGTACTGCAGCATCTCTGCTCCTCAGAGTCAAATGTGTATACATGTTCCCTCAGCTTCTCTCTGCAGTTGCCTAGATGGATATTTACCTTATCAAGCTTTTAATATTTCTCTTTGCTGAACTAGAAAACTGAGGGCAGGATAGAGTTTTCTTTATAGTGGCTTATGCGACTTCTGTGGTGTCTTTATGATTTTGTGAAGAACTTTATAAACATGGTTATTGACTGTTTTCCTTCAGGTAAGGTAGATGCTTATTTTGGTAGAGCTATAGTCAATTCTCCATTTTAAAGGACCTATTTTATAATTACAGTCTCATGGAATAATTCATGTTTGAGAGGACCTCAGCTCATCTAGTCCAATCTCCTAATCAAAGCAGGGTTAGGTGTGAGGTCAGGTCAGATTGTTTGCGGTTTTATCTGGTTGAGTCGTGAGAAGCTCCAGAGATGGAGACTGTACAGCATGTCTGGGCAACTTGCTCAACTGGTAGACTGTTCTCATGGTGGAAAAGTTTTTCTCGGTATCAAATCTGATCCTCTCATTTCAACTTATACCTACTGGCTCTTGGCCTCCCACCCTGCGCTGTTATGAAGAGCGCAGCTCCACCTCTTTGATGCCTCCGTGGCAGTCCTGTTAGGTCCTCCCAAAGCCATGTGTTCTCCAGGCTGAACAAGCTCTGGCTGAGCAGCCTCTCCTCAGAGGATAAGTGATCCTGTCCCTACCAGCTTGGTCGCTCTCCCCTGGACTGGTGTCTTTCTTGTATTGGGGGGCCCAAAGCTGGGAGCAATGTTCTGGGGGCAATGTGGTCTGAATGCTGCATAGAGGGGATAATCCCTTCCCTTGACCGACTGGCCGTCCCCCTGCTAATGCAGCCCAGGAGGATGGTGGTGCTCTCCGCTGCCCAGGTGCTGCTGGCTGATGTTCAGCTCACTGCCCATCAGCACCCCCATGGCCTCTTCCACAGAGCTGCTCCAGTCCGGCAGTCCCCAGGCTGTATTGTTGCGGGGGGGGATGTTTCTTTACAGGTGCAGGACTTGGCCTTCGCCCTGGCTGAATTTCATAAGGGTCCGGAGCCTGACACCTCTGCCTCAAGAACAGAACATATATAAACAATGAAACTTGGAAGACCACAGTTCTGAAGAATAACTGTTCTTCAGAGATGGCTTTGCTTGGGTTGAACTTTGGCAACTTCATATAGAAAGAGGTGCTTAGTTGCCAGGAACTGAGCTTGGGAGTGGGAGCCAGAAAACATTATAAGCTTTTGGCATCAGTTTTAATTTTTTATGTATTCTTGTGCTACACCATAAAAGCTTGATAGTGTATGGCCTTAACCTTGCATTGTTTCATGATTACTCTTCCGTCTGTGATTGAAAAACAAAAGTTTAAAATATTCAGTTACATCGTTTGTTACTTAAGCATCTTTTTTACTCTTTCCTTTTTTCTCATTTTTCAGTGACAATGACAAATATTGGAGAAAAAGGTAAGATTTTTATTAGGTGTTTCTAAGTAGAATTCATATATCAGGCTAGTATAGTAGTTTACTAATAGAACTGAGATACAGATATAACCCGTTTCAAATAAGTGTTCCTCAGCTCCTTTTATTATCCTGCTGTTACTGAATATTGCTTTAGCTGTTCCAAATAGAACTTTCTATTCTTCTTACTGGCTTTCTGAAGTGTCAACTAAAATAACCCTTATATTCTGTTTTTAAAAAATTTTGTTCATAACAAGGAAAGCTTTTGTAAAACCAGGACTTCTAAAGATAATCAAGGTGTTTGTGCAGAGTGGAACATACTTAAATGGGAGGTGATTTTTTTTCTACAGTTTCTTTTTAGCCAGTGTCTTTGAAGACACAGAATCCTTCAGATATGTAACCTTTTCAGAAGATAAACTGGCTGATTAGCTGTCATTAGAGTTCCTACCCTGAGGCTGTAGCATGTTTAGATTGCTTTTCCAGATGCTATTTTAATACTACAACACAACATGGAAGTCTGAAGTGTGGGGCTGTGGACCTTTTGGAGGAAGGATTTGGGAGTTAGGAGACAAACTGTATGCTTTTTACATTTGCGTAATTCCAGCAGATTTTACTAAGTCATTGGTGACTCCCTCACTTACTTAGAAAAAGTGTTTTCCAGTTAAGAAAATTTGCCAATTAAGAAACATTTGCTTGAAAAACTCTTTCAGTTCCTTGATCTGTCCCCCCACATGAGTGAGTATCTGCAAATTCAGCACCTGCAGAGTCTGAAATAATTCCAGTTTCTTGGCTGCTCCATAGTGTGTCTGGGGGGGAGACCAGTGTGGTGTTAGGCATTGCTCACAAAGCACATCAGAATTATCAACAAAATACTTTTCCATATTTTTAGCTGCTGAAAGCCTTGGTGAGCTTCAGCCAGTCAAGAGAAGTTTTCCCTGGATGTATTTCTGCCCCAAGTGTTTTTAGGGTGAAAACTGGGCAAATGGGGCTCAGCCCTGTTACAGGTTGCTGCAGGTTTCCAGGCAACTCTATCTGTGCTAGCTATTTGTAAATGGGTTGCCTTCAAGCAAGGGATACTTCATTTGGATTGTTTTCAGGAAAAAAAAAAAAAAAAAGGTGTAAAACAGAAGGATTTCTGCTCAGGGAGCTGTGGACAGCTTTTTTTTTTTTTTTTTTCTTCCCTTCTTTTTCAAGGGAACAGAGATTCTTTTGTTGTACTCTCAACACCCACAGACCCAGTGGAGCAGCTGGGTAGCCCAGGGTCTCCATTGTGGTGCAGGGAAACTGGTGGATCGATAACCTGGGAGAAGTGACTGCTGGTGACCTGGGCCAGGCTGGAGAACTGAGGTGTAAGAGCAAAAAAGAAGAGCTTAAGTCTTGTGCCGACTTTAAAGGGGAAACGGGATAATGTCTTTAGGCTAAAATTTTGTCCTCTTACAGTAGTTGTCTTTTTTTTTTTATTGTATGAAAAGATAATTTTCTTATGAATCACAGTTACCATTATTCTCACAACAATAAAATATAGATGCAGATTAGTAAACACTTGGTGTACAGAACTGATGTAACTTGCCCTACCTTGCCTTCACTTTATGCCATGAATATACTGTTGTTTAAGAAAATACTGATTTTGTTTGAGTAAGTTTTTTTTAGAGTTGATAGAAATGTTCTGATCAAAATGAGTACTGTTCCTGCCAGATGCTTGTGCAATAAAAAGATGGTCATTTAGTGCATTGTGCTTAGTGTGGAGTCCAGTTCTATCACTTACTTATACTGATGAGATTTTGTTCAGTTTATAGATGTAGCATATGGTTCTTTTCCCCTGTCATCCCAAAAGCTTTGTACAGTGTTGCTCTCAGATTTTGTTAGCTTTTTTTAATTATTTTTTAACTGCCTAGTGAATGAGAATAAATATTTATTGTGTTGCTGCTTTTTTGAGTAAACAAACTTCAACACCAGAAACATTTATTCAGTGTTGCTTTTGAGGCAAAATTACAAAAAACAATAACATGCTGGGCTATTGTTCCTGCATTTATGCACACCATAATGCATTATGGGAAATTCTCTAGCACTGAATAACATGACGTATAAAAACATGGGCTAACCATACAAGGGCATTATTTCAGATTGTGTAGGCAAAGTACACAAGTTTCCCTTTATAATCTTTAACATCCTTTTATAATCCCTTTGACAACCTTATGAATTTATAGAAGTTGTATAAAGACTATTTGGCCATGTAGCTTCCATATAACCTTGAGCTCTCTATGATCTGAGTTCCATCTGTACAGCAGGCAAATAATATTTTTCGCTGTTGCTGTCCTAGCTATACTTTATTTGCTTCTCATCTGCCCGAGGAAGAAAAATCCAAGGAAATACTCTTTCTTGTGCATTAGAGCAAGTTAATCAGGGCATACAAGTTTTGGATTTACTATTTACTGTAGTGAATTGCTTAGCACAGTGAGAGCTTTTAAGTGGAAACACCCATCCATCCATGGCAGGCTCTTTGGAAAAGTTAATGTTCTAGTGTTCTAGTAAAACAACTCAGATGCCAGTCAACATTTACCATGCTATTACAAAAATCTAAGAATAAATCACTGGCTGGGGAGAATATAAAGTAGTGAATGAACATTGGAATTTAAAGAACCTGCAGGTTTTTAAAAAACACACTACTGTCCTCCCTTCTAAAAATCTATCAGAACAAATTAACTGGTTATGGTTACTGCTCAGATATCATGTGCATATCCACTCAAAGACTCCCCTCACTCTAGTCATTGTTTAGATATCTCTACTTCCTTTTGAGGGGGGGTGAGGTTTGGGGGGTTTTGTTTGGGTTTTTTGGCATGGTTAGCAGTCCTGCGACATGGTTTATAAAGGTAAAAAGCAGAGATGCATCAGTGAAATAGGATTTAATAAATGTGTAAAGGGAGAGTGGTTGCTAAATAATTGTGGGGCTCTAATAAGCTATTAACCGTTCCCCTCAAACTTTTGTAATATGTGTAACCTGTATCATGACTTTCCCCACACGGTCTGTATTTGTCGTATGTACAGTTGCAGTGCAATATTTTTGTTGCAAAGCTCTTGCAGAGCCTCTGTATTTATATCTGTTAGAGTAACTATCTGTGATATGTACAGCATCCGTTCACAAGTACAATAATATCACTGGTCTGTTTGTATTAATTCTGTTCCTTTTTGATTTTAGTTGTGTGCCTGGTTGCTTACCACATATTTTTCATGCTGTTCGTCTGGTCATATTGGAAAACAATCTTTACGCTACCAATGAATCCTTCAAAAGAAGTAAGATAAACTTAACTTTTGTTTCTGAAATAGCCTAGTCAAATGCCTGATTTTGTAGTATTTGAATAACTTAGGCTCTGATCTCATGTAGTTTTACACTGTGTAGAAAAATACAGATGGTAGTTACACCTTCTTAATAGGAGTAAGTCAGATTGCAAACAGTATAATGACCAAGAACAAAAAAATTACACCTTCTCTAAATTTTAAAGTTTTTTTAACAGATTTTTAAAAACAGATAATATTTATGATATTAAGAAGAAAAAAACCTCTCCAGATGAAAAAAATACGAGTTATTTGAACTAGCAGCTTAAATGTTTGCATGGGAATATAATACTTTTATGTGGGCAAAAAAATGTTTTCCCTGTGTTTAAGACTTATATTGCCTGTCGGCATCTGTCTGCTCTCCTCTGAATTAAAGCCTCTCCCCATCTGTTTTGGTGTGAAGGAACTTGGGGGTTGTGGCATGAGCGCACAACAGGTAAGCTGATGCTGGGAAGCCACAGCTGGCTGAGCAGGAAGGGAGCTAGTATAGAACAGCTGTATGGAAAAGAGGTCTGGGTAAATATATAACCCAAGTCTAAGCCCAGCTAGTACAGAAGTATTAAAGAAGAAGGATCCAGTTGTCTTGGAGAATATAAAGATACAAACCCACGTTCAATATGATGTAGCCTCAAGATAATTGCTTTTAGTACATTATTGGGGAATTCTATTATTTTAATTTCTCATTCTTTCTTGTATAAAACAAAAAAACCCAACCAACCAAAAAAAAAAAAAAACCAAAAAAAAGAGAACACTGTCAATAGCCTTGATGAGATTCTTCCCCGTGCAGCTTGATGCAACCAGTGCAAATTTTTGGACTCTTCCATCCTGTCTTTGTAAAGGAACTCCACAGTTCTCAGTAGGTGCTATGTCACACAACCTCTGAGGACAAGAGGAATCATGCTATGGCTGCTCTGGAGTTTGAAATACCCAGAAAGCCAATACTTACTTAGGCACGGACTCATAACTCTAGCTCCTATAACTACCGTGCCAACACAAAATAAATAGCTTGTGATTTCTACTGTTTGTTGTGCAGAGGTTCTTTTCTGAATAGTTTTCATTCACTAATAAGATATGTAATTGTGGAAACAAGTAGATAATTCAAAGTAATTGCCTCTTTCTTGCGTTTCACACTGTGGTCTTTACTACAGCTTGGGGCGGAGAGGAGCAAAATAAATTAAGAATTTTTTTCATTTGGTAATTACATAGCAAAATATATGCATGTATATGGTGACTGTAGCGGTAATTAGAAGGGTTTTCAAATCACTGGGCTGATGCCAATAAAAGCCTTCCAAAACATTTTTGACAAATCCTTTGTAATATCAGTGGGATTCCAAAACCATCATACCATACTGGAGAACTTCAAACGGGATATTAAAAGTATTGAAGTTGGGTAATAGAAAGCAATGTGTGGTGTTTCTGTGTTCTTTGAATTTACACAATGTTGCTGGCAGTAAGTGACATCTTTGTTGTTCCATGTCTTTTTCCTAAACTACTAGAGCAGTATTTTTAAGATTTAATTAGTGTATCTTGTAATGTTAAGTTGCTGCGTGGCTTCCAGTTTCTAGGATGAAGTCTGTAAATGTAAAAGGATGTATTTTCAACTTAACTGAACTGACTTACCCAACTGTAGCGAATACCCATTGAAGGCTGAAAAACAGATAAAGCTTTTGCATTTTGTTTTCATGAATTCTGCAGCTGGTGCAAACCATACAGCCTGTATATTTCTTTTTAAGATTACTTAAGCTTTTTACAAGTGTGAAAAACACTAAAGTTCCAGCTGTGGTTTCTCTTTAAGACACCTTGAAGGACTTCACTTTAGAGTGTTCTTTTCTGTACCTGTGTGTACCAGCTATATACAAGCATTGCATGAAGGTAGGAGAGAAGATGGTTTCCCAGGCAGGAAGGTTTTGTAGACTTAGGACTACTCTGAGAACTGGTACAAAATGATGGAGCAATAGCTCTGTGTATGTCAAACAGGAAGCATTAAAAAAAAAAAAGTATTTTGAACCATGTTTCTGCAGTGAGAAATACTATGTATCCCAATATAAATCAATTCAGGTTTTGGCAAGAGTTTATTATTGCTAGGGAAAAAATGAAAGGTGACCTGGGAAACTCATGCTAAACAGTGACCCTTTAGCTTCTGCTGGAAGATTGTGAGCTTTGTCAGGAAGGTAGAGTGGTGCCTTCTCTATGGAGGCGAAAATAGGCTCCTGATTGTATGTTTCTGTCTGCTTTCTTAGTTTTACATGCATCAGTTTCGTTTAGGAAAAAAAATAATATTATTGTAATGACTAGCCTTTCTGTAGACATAAATGCTATGCAGAGGGCTTCTGTAGTACAGGTTAGAGACAGCCACTCTTCCTGCCAAATACAGACTTCTTTTCAGAGGTGATTTTGTATCCTATTTGTCTGACAGAGATACCAAAGACTTCAGCATCTGCCCACTTCTAGAAGCTACAGCAGCAGAGCTGACTATGTTGCTCTGTTACAGAGGACTTTAGCATATAAGAAATTTGGGCTGTTTCATGTATACCATGCATATCTGTCAGTAATTTTTACCCTCTCAGCTTTTACTGGAGCAATGTTTGTTATTACCATTTTGGGCAGTGACTGAAGGTGTCCTTTTATGCAGGAGGATGTTAAGATGTGGTTATTCTGTCATATAGGACACCCATCTCTTCCTTCTCTCAGCAAACCTTCCGAAGTAGAAACACATCCTAACACCTACATGCAGAGGACAGCAGCTCTCCAGTGGCAAAGAATAAAAGGGGAAATACCAGACACCAGAAGAGAAATAAAGTTATCTTTTCTGCTATTGCTAGTAGCATTTCTTTCCCTTAAAGACTGACATCCCTAAGCATATATTCACTAGCTAATATTTAGTATTACAGAAGGAAATTAACTGACCTTTCAAGGGAATGGTAAGCTCTTGCTTATTACTTCTGGAAGCATTCAGCATTGCATCAGTACCGAATCAGAAATAATTTTAAGTTTGTCTTCAGTTGCCATAAACTAAATTAGTGGTCTTGGGAATACTGGGTTATTTGTTGCAATACCTTTAACATGCTGCTAATCCATCTTTATATAATGAATATTTATTTATCTTTACATCTCTACAGATCTTATTTAACTTGAAATTTGCTAACATATCTTTGATTTTAAAAATTATTCCAGTTTCATCTATCATATTCAGACAAGGAATCCCTAGAGAGGGAGCCTAGAGGTGAATCTCAGCAAGAAGTCTTAAGACGGGCAGCCAAGGATCTTCCTATCTATACACGGACAATGTCTGGAGGTAAATAGGTGTTCAGGACACCACTAAAGGCAGGTGTCTTGATGTACTACCTAAACTAATTAAAAAAAAATTCAAGGGTTTGGATTGTAGGGAAGAACTGCTTTTCATACTTCAGAAAATAAGAATGTGAGCCCAGAACTTAACTTTAATGTAGCTTTTTGCAGCTACATTTATTCAGTGGAAAGATTGTTGGAAAGTAAATTGCTGTGCACAATTAGGATTTTAAAGGGTATTGGAAGTACCTTGCTACATGTTTGCAAACTGACATTAACAAATAGCTTTTGATACTAACAAACTGCACTCAAAAATTGTGTTTTCTGGCTAGCTAAGCAAATCCAAGAGATAATCTCATATAGTAAATTAAAGCTGGTAGAATAATAGCTTAAAATAGCTATATTGTTGAACAGTCTTTAAAGGTTTTCCAGTCTAGTGAAGGTTTTGTGGGTTTTGTTGGTTCATTGGTTGTTTCGCAGAGCGGAGGGATTTGGAAGAAAAAACACTGATTAGTATGATTAGCAGAGATTGCAAAAACTGAGCTTTTTGGGTTCACTCTGCTAGATTCAGCATTGCAAGTACTTAAAGAATGCTTCAATATTTGCAGCTGCTTCAGATTGTGCTGAATGCTTTCCTGGGGTTTCTGCTGGGCTGAGCTGCTAGTATTTACTTTTGCACAGACTTCAGGAATCAAAATGTGTAACTGTACATTGAGATCTAATCTTGGAACTTTTTTCTTTAGCAATCAGATACTGTGACAGATGCCACCTTGTAAAACCAGATCGTTGCCATCACTGTTCTGTATGCGACAAGTAAGAAAATATTTTAAATAAGTAGTTTTCTGAATAAATGGATTTTTTTTTCTTGACACAGGAGCTTTTATTTTTTATGCGTAGATTTTTCAGGTTTAATGTTTTGGCAGAGAAGCTTTTTTTTATTCCATAGATTTTTTTCAGGATTAGTTTTTATTTATTTATTTGTAAAGAAGCCTGTAACTTACTCTAATTCATTTGATGGCTTTCTTGATGCCAGCATGGATTATGTGGTCTTACACATTCATTAAGTAATGGGTAAAAATTATGAATATTAATAAAGAACTTTCCTTAAGAATGTAACCAAAAATAGCTGATAAACAAAAATTTGCTTCTTTTGTTAGAATCTGAATAAAGATCACTACCCATCTCAATCTAATCATGATGTCACTTACATCTTATCTGAGGTAATAAACTTAATATCCTATTTTTCATTGGATAACTTGCAGGTTATTTTTATTTAAAGAAAGAAACAACCAAGCATCACCCGTTTCTAACTGAAGCCGTAAAATAAAGTTTTTGTTTTTCTAACACAAAATGAAGTTCACCTCCATATTCCCCAGAAGTCTAATTGCTTTCTAATTTAATCTTTCTTTCGGCTATTCTTCTCTCTGACCTTTCTCCAGTTAGCCTGGATATCTGTGTGTTTCTCCACTCTTGCCCCCAGTGATTTAAATTTCTAACTTTAAGAGAAGGGGCTTCCTCAAAAGTTGATTTATTCTTAGCATTAAGGCTGTTCCAAATACTCTTCAGCTGATAATATATCAAACCTTCCAACATGATTGTGAGGCAGAGAAGACTTTCCATGTTGTCCAGCAAAACAGCAGAGGCACTGAAAGAGTAAATGAGTTGAGGCAGAAAGAGGATCTTGGTTGTGTTGTATGGCATGGTGGTTGCAATGTCAGGTAGGAACATTCTCATGTCTGAGCAGGGTAGAGAAAAAGGGTGACCTGTGTTGTCCTGTGAGATGTGAGTGAAATTTGCAGAATGCCATTAGTTAATATGTTTTGCAGAATACCTTAATTTTGCCCTTACCTTGTCAAAATTCACTTGCTTCAATTGTATCTGATTTTCTTCTTTTATTATGGAGAGTGATTAATTGCAAAAATGTTTGGGATTTTTCATACAAGGTAAGTTCTTAAAAACCTCCTGTGCATCTGCTTATATTTCTGTAAAAGCAAGTCATGTACTTGGAAATATAATGAGTTGCATCACTAAGTATGTAGTAATTGCATTAGCCCAGTTTGTAAGTCTCTGTCAGAGAATTAACAATAGTTGCAAAACCTGTTCAGAATGAGAACCAAATCCTAATGCTGAAGTTACAGATTGCATTTTCTTAAATCACTAAACTATTGACAGAACAAGAGTTTTGAGTTTGGCTTTACTTGTAGGTAAACTGTATTCTGTGAATTTAAATAGACATCTTTGTTAAATAGATTAGTTAACCAATAGTACATACGGGTAATTCTAAATCTGTATGTGTATAATTTAAATCTGACATGTAACTGTGCTTCTGACTTTTGCTTTTCTTTTGCCTTTTGTGGTGCTTGGAATTCCGTTGGGTTTTTTTAAGGTGCATTTTGAAAATGGATCATCACTGCCCTTGGTGAGTGTACTATTGGCTTTCCTTTCTTAGTTTCTGATTGAGTAAAATAAACTCAAGGGAACTGTAATGAAGGTGATGCTTCACTATTCCTAGAGTTAGATGTTGACGTGAAGTTACTGGTCTTGCAGGACCATTGGAGTTATTTACTGTATGTCCTCTTTTCCTAGTTGTGAGATGTGGAAAGAATTTAATGTATCCTTTTTCTTAAACCTTTGAGTTAGGTAACTCCATGTTTTTATAGTTAGGATGAGGTAGACTTCTGGTCAGTAAGAAAACTTCTTTTAAGAAATGCGTCTTTTCTTTGTGAGTTTGGAGTTTGACTATTACTGTGGCTTGGTTGCATTGAATGATGAAATACTACCCTAGGTTAAAAACCAAAGGGAAGGGCTGTGCCTCGTTCCCCTTACTGAAGCTCCCAGCACAGCTTGAGTGGGCTTGCTGGAAACAGCAAGTTAGCTCTTTTAGTTTGATGAGTCCTTTGTTTTGTTTCATTTTTTCTTCTGTCTCCCTCCCACTCTCCCTGCTTTTGCTGCCAGGTTGGCCTGCACAGTGGTTTTGTTTTCCTGTCTTTTCTCAGCAGCCTTTGGAACCAGTGGGTAGGCAGGATTTGTAATTAATTATATGTCAGTTTGGCAGGTATCTCATAAAAATAATTAAAAATAATTGTTTAGTAAGGTCCAAGTTAAAAGGATTGAGTGGTAGATGGCAGTTCTTCACCACATGAAACCGATCAGAAAAGAAGAATCTGCTGTGTTGGACAAACTGAATGGTAGATGGTTCTAAGAGCCTGGTTTGACCTTCTCAAATGAAATTTGTGGGCAGAGGAGACTCTGTCCTGTGGGAGCAAGGGGTGCTGGCCCCCTCCTGTTTGTCTTGGTCCTGACTACAGCCTCTGACATAATGCAATATGATTTAAGAATCTCCCCCTTTTTTGCAGCTGCATAGTAGGTAAGAATTGAAAGAAATATTTAACAATATAGGGTAGAGTTAATTCCTACATATTGTTTTTTGCTGTGGGGATATCAGCATATGAAACTTGATGATGCTTAGTGTTAGTTGTGTGCTTCGTAAAACAAACAAACAAACAAAACACAAACAGGTAAAACAGTTGAATGGGGAACAAATTTCTTAGAAGAAAAACGGCTTGTTACTTTTTTTCAGCCTTCTTATAGATGTCTTTTGGAAAGCTATAAGAAAAATAGCTGTCAGGCTATTCCTGACAAAGTATCAGTGAAAAGTCTGAATATTACTATTATTATTCAATGTTATACATACTTCTCATAAGCTTTATGGTCTGTTTGGGATTTTTTGAGTTGTCCTGCCTTAGGATAGTACATGAAAATGTCCTTCATGTAAACTTCAATTTCAGAATAAAAACCCATTGCATCAAATAACAAATTATAAACTGAGCACTTAGTGTTGCGTAAAGGGGCAGTGAAACTAGGGCATAGACTTCTAGACAAATAAGCTCCATTTTCCTCTCAGTAGCATTTACTTATTTTACCTGTTTGCAGACTCTTCATATCCAAACGACATAAACGTACCCAGCTTGAGAGAGTATTTACATTGCTCATTTTTTTTAGTCTAATAAGCAATGGGTGCAAAAAGAAAAAATAGAAATGGAGAAAGTACTTGAAAAACGTATAATGCTTCTTGATGGAGAACTGTTCCTTTTATACTCCCAAGTAACAGAAATACACTTGAAAAAGAGGTATTGTCTCGTTTTGTTTTTCCAAAGTTGAGTGGATGTCCACAGTTCCTTGCTGACCCTGGAAAAAATTAACTATGTGGAAGGGACCAGAGAGTTTTGAAACTGATCAAACTTTGTATTTCCCTTAAAGACCCATGCTCAAGGGGTCTTTGGGAAATATCACATGGCTATTTTACCAACAAAAGTAAGGGTGCGAATCAGTATAATGGGTGGGGTTTAGCCCCCCTGAAAACATCATTAGCTCCTGCTTTGCTTTTCGTGTTGAGATTTTTTGGTGGGAGCAAGTTTGATGGGAAGGAGGTGGGAAAGAACCTATGGGATGCTTAGGGGGAGCAGGAAAACAGTAATGGGAATTACTATTTTAATATTCTGCTAACAGAAGGATTTCTGGAGAGAGGAGAGGTAAAAATAACCTAGGGAAAGTAAAATGAAGCATATGGAAGGCAGAGGTAGTAAGGGGTTAGTCATGTCCTGGCCCAAGGTCAGCTGTTTTCTGGGAGGTTTTATTTTGTCTATCACTCCTGCGCTAATGGAAGTGCTGTGATAAACGGAAATATTTAATGCTAATTGCCCTCTGACTACTTCAAAAAGGTTTAAGTGATGCAGAAATAAAAGCATTAGTGATTTCTATGCGAGTGCTCCTGCTACTTATGCTATAGATGGAGATGCAGGCAGGAGTGCAATGGCTTGAGGCTCCAAGAATATAATTTGTATGTAACAGCTCTATTATTAACAAGGTGCATTAGCAACACCTTAGGAACATTTGAAACATCTCTCCTTTGTCTTTTGAGTCATTTGAAAATAATTTAGCATCTCCTTAATTCCGTGATGCTTTTTGTTAACTGAGCTGCATCACCTTCAGTGCCTTATAAGTTATTTTTTTGCCTGGCATTTTCGATAAACTAACTCTTGAGATAGAAATGATATATCTTCTTTTTGTGCTTCAAAATTAATTGTTTTAAATGTTGTTTGTAATCCAGACTTTAACCTGTAATGTTCTTTTGTATGAATGTTTCGCTGCAATAGCACACCATTATTTAGCATCTTGTCTGTACATTTATCAGTTTTATTCTTCCTTGAAATGTTAGACTTTAAATCTAACCACCATTCTTGGTTATTGTGATTTGATACTACATGTTCAAATAGCATAATGACAAAACCCTGGTGTTTACTTTCTCTTTAATCTTTTTATGAAGTATTCTCTTCCCTAAGAACCCCTCGGTCTGGGGCTTTGTCAAAACTACAGGGAGTGCAATAATTTATAAAAGTTTTTTGGTTTTTTTTCAATGTGTGCACTGTATGCAGTAGTGCAAAAGAACAATGAGAAAGAAATCTGTCTTTGATTCAAGAAATTTCATCTCTGGTGAATAACATTTCACTTGATATTTCTTTTCTCACTAAACAGTGTCATAAAATAAAAATTGTCATGAAAGAAATAACATGAAAGCAAAGTAGGGTTATGGACACCTTGCATCTGAATTGCTTGCAGTTTACCATGGAATTCCTAACTTTGACATATTTAATGAAGAAGATACTTCACTGTGGAGAGTTGTAAATTTACTTGCCAAAAAGAATCATGATCAATACGAATCAAGGCCAGGCTGGATGGGGCTTTGAGCAACCGGGTCTAGCGGGAGGTGTCCCTGCCCATGGCAAAGGGGTTAGAACTAGGTCGTCTTGAAGTTCCCTTCCAATTCTAACCAACATATGATTCTATGAGCTTAGTTAGAAACATGTCTTCTGAGGGGGGTAATTAGAACTTGTGAGTCCTTCTTAATTGGAGTTAATATAGATGCTTAGCTAGTGCTGCATGTTTAAATGGCAATGCTAAATTTAATGTTTAGCCAAGGTGGTATGTTTTTTAAAAAAAAAAACACTAACAAAACAAAGAAGCCCCCTATCCACCCTGAGGATGGATGATGGGAGTGTACAGTGAAAGTTTATTTAGTATTTTAAGATTTATATTTTAAGATTAATATTCTGAATATTCTGTATCCTGCCATTACCATCGCTGTCTTCCTAAAGAGAATAGTTGCAATAACTTGGCCTGCACTTCTAGAACAAGCTTAAGTTAAGACTCGCCACACCTTCTTACTTTTTTACAATTATTTTTCAACATACAAGTGCTTTCATGGATGTAGTCTTCTTTTAATTAGCTGATCTTTCTGAGAGCAATATCAATTAGTTGAAGAAGGTAGATGGAAATTTTTTTTTAACTCATATGGAGAGTTATGTCAAAGTTAGCAGTGCAATGTAACTTTGGTTAGCTTCTTAATGCAACCAAATAAAAGAAAAAGGAAGCTGCTTACCAATAAACTGTCCATGGGCAGCACTCCAATATTTCTCATTCGGTGGATGTAACATCATTACATGTTTAATAGAGCTCTAAAACTCATAATGCTTAATATATTGCCTTTAATGGGAAGCTGCTACGGCACTAAAGGTACTCTCATCATGTCTCTGATGATAGCGTATACTAGTTGCTCATTATCATGTATAAATTCTTTAAAAATGGGAAACAGGTGAACTTGAAGCCCATAAGTAAAAATGATAAAATGAGATTTATTTTAACATTTGGATGTGTATTTAAGTGTTCCTAATCTTTTTTTTATTTGTTGTCATGTTGTCACTGATATGGAACACTTTCTGTTTACTCAACAGTAGTATTCCCTCATTATTTTATGTAAATGTGAATATTTTTAGGGATCTCCTGTGAACACTCTTAAGTTTGAGATTCTTACTAATAAAGTTTACACTAGTGTGTAGTACGATTAATGAAGGACGATGTGGATTAAATGAGACTGCTTTTATTCTCACAGCGTTCAGTCAAGATTCAAACCTTGGCTTGTAACACATAACCAGTTATGTGCAGTATGCCTAATGGTAAAACATGGATGCTTAAATAATGGTAAAGCATGGATGCTTAAATTTACCTACAAACTTAAAAATTAACTGTCGCTGCAATCACATTTACATCAGATGTGCTGGGAACAGATTTCATACCATAAGTCAAAACTGAATTTTAGTGAACGGTTGAAAGTGGTATTACTTGGTAAGGTTCTTTGGGTTTGTTGTTGTTGTTTTGGTTAGAATTTCTACACTAATTTGGGAGTTGAAGCTAAATACATTTTAGTAGTTTGAGGCATCAGTTGGAAGCAAAACTTGGTTTACATGCTGATATGAATTTTTTTAGAGTAAATGCTTAATTTTAAGTTGGATGAAAGCAAAGAAAACTTTGTTTACATTCCTTTTTTTTTTTTTATTAGGGTGAACAACTGTGTAGGATTCTCCAATTACAAATTTTTTCTTCTCTTCTTGGCTTACTCTCTGCTGTATTGCCTTTTCATTGCTGCAACGGATTTACAGTATTTTATCAAATTTTGGACAGTAAGTAATCTACGTACTGTCCTTAAGGGTATGAAGTTACTACTGTGCAAGAAGTCTAAAGCTTGGGGTACAGAAGTTTATCTAATAATCATAGCCCTCTTTTTTTTTTTCTGTTTATCAAAGGTTGTGAAATTTCAGTTATTTCTGCATTATTTTGAAGCAGCATAGAATGAGTATGCAATTATTTAGAAAACATTTTACAAGGGAAGTTAAATTATAGATAGGTTTTGTTAACTTCCTTTAATGCTATGCTTTGAAAAAGCTCCAGAGAAATTTCCTAGTATTTTAATTACGATTATCTGGGCTCACAATTTAGGATATTATTTTTTTAGATGTGCATTATTGATGCTATTATGTGACTATTCTGAAAAGGCAAATTGAACAAGCTAATTTTTGTAAAGCTAAATTACTGTTCTCTAAAAGACACTTAAAAGTTTAGATCCAAATTGCAATTTCTTGTTGTCAGTGTTTATACTTTCTCAAGAAAGGGTCCGTTTCTTTAATTTCGATGCTGTCAGCCACCTAATTGCATCGTTGTCTGTACATAGAAGGTGTATAATCCATTTATTCAGACCCTTGTTGCGTGGTATGTTTGTGTCTGCACTGAATTTGATTTGGATAAATAGAGGATTATTAATAATCAAATTAAACAGCTATTTCCCCAATTCTAATGGCATAATTTTTTTTTATTTTTAGAATGGCCTTCCTGATACTCAGGCCAAGTTCCACATCATGTTTTTATTCTTTGCTGCGGCTATGTTTTCTGTCAGTCTGTCTTCTCTCTTTGGGTATCACTGTTGGCTTGTCAGCAAGAATAAGTCTACGTTAGGTAAGTGGATTTAATGCTTCTGTGTTTGACAGCAAAAAATAAATAATAGATGTATGCTATATGTACGAGGGTAATGGAAAAAGTGGGCAGTCCTCTGCAGGTTGCTTGTATCCTGGTTAGAAGTGGCCGGGTCTGGCAGTGTCTAGTACTGACTCCCCAGTTCTGCTGCTCCCTGGAAATTCTGACTCTTTTCCTCCTGCCCCAAGGGGCCAAGCTATTAATGTACTTACCTTCTTCCTCCCACTTCTATCCACAGCTTGTTAAGAGAAACTGAATAAACTGGAAAAAAAAAAAATTGATATCACTTTGTAGTACATGTTAGACACATTAATGTGTGCTCGCACAAGCACTTGATGTTTGGCGTTCCCAACCCGCAGGAAGAGTCCTCTGATGTGGTGTCTCAGTCTGGTCTCCAGCACTTCATTCCCACCCTTGCCCCCTGCAGAACCAAACTTCCTCAGTTCAATTCGGCTACAGTTTTATTTAAAAGCTCCGAAAGGCTTTATTCATTCCAAAACTTTGCCTGTACTGGATGCAAGGAGAGAAAAAAGAAATCTGGAAGGCAGGCTGGTTGTGGCCCTAGTGTTGTTAGTTTTGATCAACATGACTGAGCAGCAAGAGCCAGTGTCAGAGAATGCCCGGATACAGACGAACAGACTTTAAGGCAGTGCTTCTATATTTAGTAGTAAATGAACACGGAGATCTGAAAGACAGTTTCACAGTTGTGAGTCCTGTCTACCACATAATAAGATGTATAGAAAGGACTCTGTTATGAGTTAATTTTAAAAACCTCAAAGAAGATGGCCTGTGCCTCTACTATGGAAGTGTATATATAACTGCATTGGATATCAGCATTAAACCAGGATTTCCCACCACCTGGATGCACATTTGGTTACAAACCTTTAAAAAAAAACCGAAAGAAATAAAGGAAGTGCAGAAGATTTGAGTGGCTGTTCTATACTATATCCTGGACTGTAATAATACCATTTTGTAGTATAGTCATTAAGGTTTCTAAATTGCTAAATGCTTTTTTTGTTGATATAAGCTGAATTAGAGTAAGCCAATGAATCAATCTGCTTTTCCAGTTCTCTTGGGATTTACTAATATGTAGATGATTAATGGAAAACTTTGAATATCTCTCATTGGATGAAAGCTTGTTTACATCGAGATTTATTCAGGGTTTGCGGGTTTCTTCAGCACTCTGTAAAATCATCTACTTAGAAATTAGTAGCGGGAAAAAATTGTTCGATCTAGTTAGAAGTGGAGAGAAGTTTTATTAATGATGCTTAAATGAATGGAAGTAATTAAGTATTCTGTTTATAAACTGTTCATATAATTTTAGTGAAAAAAAATGTTCAAAGTTAACTATAATGCAGTACACTTCTAATTCAATATTTCATGTTTTTAAAACAAATTGCATTCCATGCAGGTAATATACCATGTTTTCTGCACACTTAAGCTACCCCAAAAGATGAGTTTGTCTCTTCTTTGCATTTTACTTTGGGAAGTTGCTCGATATGTGAAGCCCTCAGCGTGCAATCGTTTGGTAATGAAGCCATGACAGCTTCCAGTGTGATTGTGCTTAAATCATCCTGGGAGCTGTTTTCCTAGCCTAACATATGGGCATCTAAAAAGGTGTCTCTATTTTCCCTTCCCCCTTCTTTAAAACACCTTGTAACTAATGCATACTGCATGTTGAAGGTCATTTCCAGCAGTTCATAGCTAAAGATCTACTGCAGAAGGACGGTCTCTGCATGGTTCCAGCATGGTCTGCGTGAGCTGTACTGTCAGGATATCAGGACATGGTTTGCCTACTATATATAGCCAATACAGGGAATTAAATGGTTCTCAGTCACTTGGTGGAAAGTGAATGAGTTTTCTGCTTCAGGCACTTTGCAACACTTGGAGCTGTATTTAGCTCTCGTCTCCAGAAATATAGGTTGGACGTTCATGGGCAATAATCTGGGTCATATGCAGCTGTAAAAACACACAGTATTTTCATACCCCAGGGTGCAAAAAGCTAGTCTTACTACTGAAGTGGGTTAAGCTTTTCTTCTTTTCCATTACTCTTTCTATAGTAAAACCTGCATTTAGGTTTTTCTTGAATACTCTCTGTGGTATAGTCGCATGCTGAAATCTTCATATAACACATCCCATTTTCTTAAAGTGAGTTCCTCGCTCTTCCTTGCCTTGATTGGGAGGAGGAGGGTAGAGGAGACTTCCACCCTTCCTCAGCCATAGGACTTCCTCTGTATGCACAGAGACTGTAGCACTGACTTTGGCTTTTGTAAGTGGACTGACTTCTGCAGTCGTTTTGCCTTTCCTCTTGGGTGGTAGTATCATCAGTGCAATTGCCTAAATACCGTTGTGAAACTTCAACGCCTTATTTTGTGAAGAAATCTAATTACTTTTTTTTTTCTTTTAAGAGGTATTCAGAGCTCCCATATTTCGTCATAGAACAGACAAGAATGGCTTTAGCTTGGGCTTCAGCAAAAACCTAAGGCAGGTGTTTGGTGATGAGAAGAAATACTGGTTGCTGCCTGTGTTTTCAAGGTATGCTTAGTTTTTAATGCTTCGTTTGTTGAAACTGTTGAATAATCCACAGGGTTTGGGGAGGTGGCTAGTTTTTTGAAATAAGATACAGTAATATTCACTTAGAAAAAAGTTCTTTGAAGTTTTTTTTTGTATGTATGACACTAATTCTGAATTTTTCAGCCTAGGGGATGGTTGCTCCTTCCCAACCTGCCTTGTTAATCAGGATCCTGAGCAAGCTTCCACACCTGGTGCTCTTAATTCAACGTCCAAAAAGTAATCTGCTTTTTGTTACTCATTTCAAATAGTTGATATTCTGTTTTTTCCTGGGCACATATAAATAGAGCCATGTATAAGATACTTAAAAGTGGAAAGCAAATGAAGAGTATCCTATTAATAAATACGGGTCATATTTTAAACAGCTAAGTTGTAGTTCAGACAATCCTCAGATTTATAATTAAATTTATGGAAATAAGTTTGTTGTGGTTGAGTGGCATCCCAGGACCTGAATTTTCCATGCCTGCTTAAACAGTATCCGTAACATTCTGTTCTGAATATATATGAGACAGTTAATCGGCCTGCCTGTGATACAGATTAATTAGCTTGCAAGGCTTTTGGGGGAGGCCTGCTTCTTCACATCTGGTGAAAAGATGCTTCGCATAAGGGAATCCCAGATCTTGGCATTTGTGCTGAAGCATAAGAAGCTGCGTACTGAATACATGCGTTTTATTTCTGCTGATAATTGGAGACATTTTCTTAATCCTTATCCTTCATGGCCATGACATCTTTAAAGTGTGAAAAGTATGCAGATGTTCCTTAAAATAAATAAATATAATAGCTTAATATTTTATATTGTAACTCTTAGCAACATTTATGTAATGAGTGTGATAAGTATAGTAGACTTGAATATGTGACTAAGTAATGATAATGGAATCGTATTGACAATCTTTTATTCATAAAAGAAATGCATTACGTTTCAGCTAGCTGTTTATTGACATTTTAAATCTTGCCTCAGTGATCTATAGCTTATATTAGGCAAGAGATTTTGGAGATGTTCTCTCCACTGTTTATTATGTGAGGTTTGTTGTAGTGGGAGTGAACATGGATAGAGTGCATTTGGAACTGAAGTACATGTATTAATGTATAATATCTGTCAAAGAAAAAATTGGAGTGATTCCCTGTTCTGTGCTGGGGAGTTGCGCTGGGATCTGTGACAACTACAGTGTAATGTATGTAATGATAAAAGTGTAGTGATTCATCAGAAAAGAAGCGAGGTAAGCTAGGGAAAATACTGCATACAGCAAACTGTGATGTGTGGTAAGATAATGAGAAATTACTGCAGTTTACTCCAGTGTTCTTTCTATTGGCATTACAGTGAGACCCACCTGTTTCCTGCAAAGCCGTTGCGCGATTCCCAGAGCCACCTTCTTACGGATACACCATCTTGGTCAGAAACTAGTGAAAAGGCTGAAAAGGGCAAAGTTGGTAAGGAATTGATTTATGCTGCAATTGTTTGTTTTGTAATAAACTAGTTTTGGAGGATATAGTGTAAAAATGACCAAAGTCGCTTGTTTTTTGTATTCATGAACCAAATTCATGAAGCTCATTTAAAATGCATGTTTATAGGAAGTTTCATGTATCAAGCTGCTGTGCCCTTCCCAAGTAATCCTGACCAAGAGATACTGAGAAGGCTAACACTAGTAGGTGCTAATTATCTTTTAGGCTAAGCCTGGTAATTCTTTTGGGAACAAATTGCTTATATCAGAATATGACACCTTGTTGCAACTAGTGAAAAGCCGTGTAATGGACACAGGACAGGAACAGACATGGTAATAGTGGAATGACATTAAGATGATTGATAACTAAAGGCTGTGTTATTTGCTGAAAGAGACACAAGACCTTTTCCTGTGGAAATAAATTTTTTTGTCTTTAAAGGTATGAGCAATCCTGCGTTAACCATGGAAAATGAAACCTAGTTTCCCCTAAAAGAAACATCTGAATACATAAGGAAAGGTATGTTAATATTCTGTGTACTTAATATGCTATTCCATGATTCCTTACCACTGGAAGACTGCACAAAAGAAAATTACTAAAGCAATTCCTATCTGGTTTTTTTTCTTTAATGTTTTTTTACCAAGAGGTTGTAGCACATGAATCCATAGTTTTAAACTAAAGCTCTGATTTCTTGATTTTTCATGTTTGCAAAATATTGTTTAACCTTTATACCCATTGCTTTTAGGTAGTATTCAAAAATATTATTACTTTTTCCTTTTTCTAGAAAGATGATGAAATTGTGACTAGTCAAGCTCTCCAGCAGATCTTTCTAAAGCTAATTTTGAAAATTAACTTAATTCTTAATACTGAACGCAAAGATCATAGCTTGGTCTACTAAAGAAGGTAAAGGTCTATCAGATAATGAAAGAAAAATAGATTTATTCTAATATGTAAAGCTATTAGCACCTTGTTCTTTTATGCCAGGTACTGAGCATCCTGTTCCAATAACTTTAAAGTGCTGCCTACTGAAGCCAAAAGGTGTCCATATGACTTTGTCGCCTATTGTCAAAAACAGCTGAGATTTTTTTTACCATTATTGTTTCTTGCATTCATATCTTGCAACATAAACTTCTCAGAGGGCAGGTTTGAGAAGCAGCTAGTAAATTCTGTTGTGTACGTAAGAGGAGGAGACCTTAATAATCGGGTTGGGGAGAATGAACACAATGAACACAAGTTCACTTTAGTATTTGAAGATTTCTAACCCCACGAAAGCTTATGAAAACCAACTATTTAATATTTAAAGCTGGATAAAAAATTTTACTCCAGCCCTAAGAATTTCACAATACCAAATAATTTACGAATTTCCAACAACATTGGAGGAGTTGTTCCAGCAAGGTCATTTCCATCTCTGCTATTGGAAGTACTTTTTCAGTCATCCTGAAAAATTGTCTCAAGTGGATGTCCCTCGTTTGTGTGTGATGTGACTCCTGGGCATGGTATCACAGCTCTCAAGCTGCCCACAGTCATTCCTGGAGGGAGTGGAAGGCACGGAAAGCCATCAGAGACCTGCAGCAATTGATACTAGACCCATCAGGCATGGTATTGGAATGTCAAGGCAGATTATAAAAATGGTGGGTGTGCAGATATCAGCAGGTGGCCTGTAGCTTGTACCAGAAAGATCCCAGAAGTTCAGTTGAATTCATCAGAGAAACTAGAAAATTCTTGACCCTTGCATTCTGGTTTTGTGTTAAGCGGTGAATGGAGACAGACTGTTCCAGATATAGGTACATCTATAAACTTGATGATGGTGTGAAGTGTTAAAGTGTTGAAAATGTGGGTGTCAAATGAACAGTTAAAGAGACGAGCGAATGAAACTCAGCTGGTGTCTGCAATTTTGACTGCTCTGTGTAGGTTTGGGGTTTTTTTTAATAGAATCTAAAAATCTCATTTCTAAACCTTCATTCAAAATGTGAAACGACATGCTTCTGCCCTGTTTAATCCATCAGTTGTTTCAACAAAACATCAGCTTCTGGAAAAGAATAAATTTTTCAACTTCAGTTAGTTTAATGTCTTACATGTCATCACTACTCAAAAGTAAAGACTTGGAGACAGGCTTTAAAAGAACAGGTTTTTGGATCGGTGACACCAGCCACGGAGCCATGTATTAATAGGCTGGGCCTGCTGGATTCTATGATTACGTTACAAAAATATCATTAATTGCAACTAGTTTTGTGAGGTTGGAGTTCTACTTTCGAAAGTCCTGATGCTTTATTTATAGACTCATAGAATCGTTTGGGTTGGGAGGGACCTTTAAAGGTCATCTAGTCCTACCACCCGGCAATGAACAGGGACATCTTCAACTAGATCAGGTTGCTCAGAGCCCCATCCAACCTCATCTTGAATGTTTCCAGGGATGGGGCACCTACCACCTCTCTGGGCAACTTGGTCCAGTGTCTCACCAACCTCGGCATAAAAAATGTCTTCCTTATGTCTAGTCTAAATCTACCCTCTTTTAGTTTAAAGTGATTACCCCCTGTCCTATCACAACAGGCCCTGCTAAAAAGTTTGTCCCCATCTTTCCTGTACTAAGATAAGTACTAAAAGGTTGCAATAAGGTCTCCCCAGAGCCTTCTCTTCTCCAGGCTGAACAATCCAAAGTTTTTTAAGCTGTCCTCATAGCAGTGGTTCTCCAGCCATCTGACCCTTTCTGTGGCCCTCCTCTGGACCTGCTCCAACAGGTCCATATCTTTCCCGTGTTGAGGGCTCCAGAGCTGGACGTAGTCCTCCAGGTGGGGGCTCACCAGAGTGGAGTAGAGGGGCAGAATCACGTCCCTCGCCCTGCTGGCCACGCTGCTGTTGATGCAGTCCAGGATACAGTTGGCCTTCTGGGCTGTGAGCGCATGTTGCCAGCTCATGTCCAGCTTTTCACCCACCAGTACCCCCAGGTCCTTCTCATCAGGGCTGCTCTCAGTCCCTCCATCCCCCAGCCTGTATTGATACCAGGGGTTGCTCTGACCCAGGTGCAGGACCCTGCGCTTGGCCTTGTTAAACCTCATGAGGTTGACACAGGCCCACTTCTAGAACTTGTCTGGGTCCCTCTGTATGGCATTTACTTAAGTAATAACTTTTAAACTTTAATCTTCATTTGAACAGCATGTACATTTATTGAAACTTTGTCATTCGATTATTTTGAATGTCAAACATAGTCTGTGATTGTTCTCAAGATGTTGAAAGTGTTTTTTTAAAGCTGTTTAGGTTGATAAACATGCTCTTTTTTTTGGTTGTTTTTTTAATCTTCTAGTCCAGTCTGAGAAAGTAACAATTATATTTGTGTTTGCAGTCTGATTACCCCACTCCTGGGGTTTGGGAGCTTGGTTTGTTTGTTTGGGTTTTTTTTGTTTCTTCTTTTTGTAAGCATCCATTTTGAAGTGCAGCTTTTTAAAGAGAGACCACTTTCAGGGGAGGTTATTTTCCAAAGAGTAAGTGTAAAGCCACGTAAAGGGGCTCTTCCTGGAAGTCAGTTTTGCCTCAGACCAACACATGTAGATCTCAAAAGGGCGGTAGCTAAGGACTGATAATTTCTCTGGCATGAGCATAAGTGCCAGTTTGGTTGTACCCTTAGCTCTGTCTGAGATATTTCTATGTGGCAATTAAAAGACTTTCTGGAGATGTAACAAAAAAGCTAGATTATTCTGTGTGTACATATATATCTATAGAGACAGAGCTGACATACAGTTGCTGAAATAAGAGCCCTTATTTAAAAACTTTTTTGCCTTTTTTTTTTAACTGCTTTGCATTGAACTTCATTCCTTTATTGTCAGTATTTGAGTTATATTTGTTCCTAGGGAGTGACTAAAATACTTTATTAAAGATGCTTAAGTCACAACAACTAATTTCATCTTTGACGTGAAAAATACAGCCCACAGCCCCTGCCAGCATTAGTACTTCGAATTTCTGTCCCAACTAAGGTTATAGTCATTATCCTGTAATCCTTTATAGTTAATCAGAGGACTAATTACTGAGAGTGCCAGATGTGGTTTACACTAATATAATAGAGAATTATTTTTTTAATGATGTTGGTACCTGAAAGTACTCTAAAAATAGCTCACTTCATTGAGTAACCTGGTGGCCTGCTTGCTGGTGTAGTCAGATTTTAATCACTGTCACCCTGAAGTGGATTAATACCGTAACTGTGAACAGTCCTACTGTGTTCTTCTTCAGGGTGGGATTTTCTTGCAGCTGTTGTTCACTTTCCCCTTTGAGTTAATGAGACCTGTTGCAATAATTTTTAAGTGTTCTTCAGTTCTAACAATGTATTTTGTGATTAATGTTCTATTTCAGTTCAAGAAAAAGCTGTTGTCGGAAGGAAGATGCATTCTTCCAAATATCAGCCCTGTTGGCCAGCTGCTCCTGTCTGCTCCTGTGTGGATGTGCTCAGAAAACAAACTTGACAGATGATTATCTGTCTCCATGTCACTGCTTGAAACACAAAACCAAACATACTACTTCTGAACCATATAAAGAATGTTTCAACTTAAAATTACTGGTTTTGAATGGCGAAGGATGATTCTGAGTATTAGGAAATGGAAAAAAATAAGTAGTCTGAGTTTACTATTGTAAAAATTCAGTGGCTGGTTTTACTTTGATATTCAGCACAAGAAAAATGTGACCTCCTTACATATCAGTCCATGTGCTTGCCTTGGTTTTGAAAATTCACCTGTTAATTCAAACTGCTGTGAGTAGTTGACCTTAAAATCAAATTTTTGCACTACTGGCTTTACGAATTGGGAGAACAGCCAGTATTGACTCTGAATAATTTAGTGTCTTGGTGGACTGTATTTTCTTTTAAGCGCTTGATAAGCAATTTTTGAAGATAAGGAGACCCAAGTGAAATGTCTGACTATTTTTGGAACATTTTTGGAAAATTTTTTGGAAAACATTATTGAAAAGTTCCATTTTCCCTCAGATCTGTACGACCACTAGTTGAAAAGTTGCAAAGGGGAAAAAAACGCCTTTGTTAATTGAATGCTGCAGTGGGTCTCTGGTAAGTGGAGCGATAAAAAGCGTGCGTTCAGATGGATAATCCATAAATTAAGCTGGCCAGATGGGGATTTTGGTGGGACAGTGCTATGAAATGGGGATTTTATTGTCCCATTTGGAGCTATTAACCCCTTTGGGAAATGAATGTTGGAATTTAACTTTGATCCTGAGGTTCACTGCCTTTCAAAATCATAGTTTCTTATTAACCAATAGTTGTCTCAGATTTCTTTTTTCACATGTTCTTTCAGACACTGCCTTTCTTACTGCATAACTTAATGAGTATCATGTACAATCAAGGAGGCTTACTGTAATAACTTGTGATATTTGCATTTACAGGACAACAGACATTTGATTGCAATACCAAAACGCCAAGCTGCTGCACGTAGGAAACCCCCCCTTCAGTTAAGTTAGGAGCTAGCAGCTTGCTCAGGATGAAAGTTTACCGGCCAGGTAATACAAAATGCATTACCAACTTTCAAAGTCAAGGAAGTTTCAGTAACACAAATCTAATTGTCTTGTGCCTTTTGCATACACCACATTTATGGTATCAGTGTTTACATTTAAATGCAAATTATTATTCTGAAAACTACTTTAGGAGGAACTTAGTTATGCTTACTCGGTGGCTAGATAAAAAAAGACTAGTCCAAAAAAGAAAAAAAGTGAAAACCTCTCAGACTAAGCTCGGTTCAGTTGAAGCAGAAAAGTACTTTTGTTATCCAACCTGAGTCACTTTGCAGGTTGGTTCACAATATAAAGATGCCAGTTGTTTGTTTAGAAAACTGGCAGCAGGACTAAGTGACAGATTTCTGAAAGCAAAAATCTTATCAACTCTCCTACAGGCAGGTAACTTTAACATTTGTCTTTCCTGGGTTTACAACTTAAGTGATAGCTGGTGGAGCACAATGTGGCTTTTTTTTCTAGTGAGGGAAAAATGTATTTATTTTACTACTTTTTTTTTTTTAATCTCAAAATGTTACCAGCCTGAAAAACATCTGTTTCTTGCCAGAAGTGCCAGAGTGTGGAGCCCTTGATGTAAAACACCTTTTTAAAACTAGCATGAAGGTAGCATACAGTTTACATGATGCCTGCAGATATCTAGCAACCAAAAGTTTTTCGCAGCTATTTATTCAGTGTTGTTCTGTCAGCTTACCTCGTATTAGTGTTTGTTTAAAGGCTAACTTGTCAAGGGATAAGGGGGAGAGGGAAAATATATTTTTTAACACTTCAGGTTCTCTATCTGTATAGTCTTGTTTTTTACGCTGTTAGTCACAGGGTGGTTTGTCATGGAGCATGCATTCGAAAATACTGAGTAAAAAGTTGAAATTCATGTTCAGTGTAACTTGCTCCATATTTTTAGGTAAAGACAAAGTACAGAATTCTTCTCCAGCAAAACTCATAGTGGAAATGGATCTCTAATACAGATGTCAGCCTCCCTGACTATGTCCAGGGCTCTGAGAGCTCTCAGTAATGCTGGGGATCAATGTAGAGGAAAGACAGGGATAAGGGAGCAAGAAATGCCTGACTTTCTGCGTCTCAGAAGTCACAACTAGAAAGCACAATAGCCCTAAATAATCTGCAGCTTTGAGATAGCCAGAGGCTGTCCCTCTAGCAGGAAAGCGATGGAGGCGTGGGAAACATATGCTGAGGGAGGAGAGGGGAAAGAGAAATGATGGTTCAGCTGAGCTGAGCCAGAGGGCTGTAGCTGCAGCTGCTCTCAGGACGGGTAGGAGCTGTGCCTCCATGAAGAGCGCTGTTGGCAGGCTTGGGAGGGTTCCTGGCAGTTCTCACTGTATACAGTATGGACAACAGTGAGTTACTCGTGCTCCAAAATATAATTTCTGGTATGACTATATTCTTGGCTTTAAGCTCTCTAATACTTTATATAGCAAAGTGAAAATGGTCGTTTTGACATATTGTCATTGAGCATTGATGCTGTTACAATGCACGCGGGAGAATTTGTGAAGAGGTAAGAGGAGCAAGGATGCAACACTGTTTGTCCGCTTACACTGATTCTCCTGTTCTTTATATTCTTGCTAGGCACTTTACTACAGCCTTTTGTGTAATTTCTGTATTTTTTTGAAAGACTGCTTTTTACCTACTGTACAGTTACTAATCTACTTTTTTGCTAAAAAGAAAATAATAGCCCTGATATTTGTCTAGCAGTATGACTGCATTTCAAGCTTCAGTGGAACGAGTTCTACAGATGCCTCAAATGGGCCTGAGTCCCTAATGACAACAGAGTTAAATTTATTTTGTATATATGTAAACAGTCATATGTGTCGTAACCCTGGAATTAAGGAAGCTTCCTTAATTCGTAGGTTAGAACAAATCCAATGCCTGTCTGCACCACAATTGGTCCACACGTACTCTGTCAGTTGATGTACTGGTGGTGGAGTGCTCAAAGTCTTCACAGAGAACTATTTTTATTAAGCAAATGGAACACCTAGGTGTTGGTGAGCTCCTCCCACTGAGCAATTAGACACAGCTGCTGCTATGCACTTTAATTCCTAAACTTGAGAAAAAAACCCACTGTCCAGTTTAAGTTGCAGATTGAAAGTTCTTTAGTAGCCTACAACTGTGCGCAGGTAATAAATGAAATTATTTTTAGCTGTGTACTTAAAATCAGGGTCTACAAGCAAGAACTTGCAGGAAGCAAGTTTGTTGTAGTGCATGGTATGCTGTAGCTGTTGTTAGTCATGATTTGGACTGAGAGTTCTTGCCCCGATTCAGTTGACTGGTGTGCTGGAGTAGGGGAGGGGGGAATATATTTCTACATAAATATAGTGTATAACTTTGCCACTTGTTAATGTATTGCTCACATAAATAAATGCTTCCTGTTCAGCAAGTCATGTACGTAGCGGTCATTGACACATTACCTCCAGTTTTACTGACAGCGTACCAGAACAGTAGAACATCATCTCTACTACAGCTTCACGAACGTCATTGCTGTTGAGTGTCCCCCCTCACCCTTCACCAGCAATCTGACTTTTTAAGGCATGTTTTCCCTCCCCAGTTTAATTGCTGGATCCCAAGCGACTCACAAGGCACTGACACTCTGAAATAGGTTGAGGGAACCAAATCCTTTTTGGTCTTTCATGGGTGAAATGCTCCATATCTTCATGCTGGCAGAGCAGACACAGCTGCACTCCTTTAGATACTGTGGAAGGTCAAGAGGTGGAATTTTGTCCCCAAAAAGAGGGGACCCTTATACCCACCTTACTTTACAGAACTGAGGAGGCGCGAGGAAGGGAAAGGAAGGGAACAATGTTACTTACTGGGGTCGTCACCCAGAGCAGTTTAGCCTCATGAGGGCTCTCCAGTCCCTCCCATGGCAGATTCTGCTGATCTGCCTGACTGTCCACTCTGCCAGCAGTGTCCCTAGGGAAGTGTTGGATCCACCTCTGGTGCAGAGAGGAATGAGTCTTGTCTACTCAGGGGCCTCTAGAAATGCAGGAGCAGTTAGGTAAAGATGAAAGCAGCCTTCTGTTCCAGTTCAGATGTAACGTGCAGTATATGCTCCAAGCTTTTCCCATGTTTTTATGTAAAACCCTTCCATAAATATTTGTATTGAACCACATACAAACTTTCTCATCCAAAACAAGATGAAAAATAAAACCCATGCTGCTATACCGTATGGGTGGTGGGGTGTCCTTGTTCCCACTTCACTTGCAGCTATTGCTGATTCATCAGTGACCTGGGAAGAGGACAGGAAAAGCAGCAGCCTTCTGGGGTGAAATTTTGAACAAGTGGCACCTGATGTAACCTGAGGAAAGCCTTGCCTACTTCCCCTTGGCAGTTCTTCAATTGTTCCCTTTTTAGTGTTCATCATCATTCTTCTCTCTCTTCCCCTCCCCTTCCAGGGAAGTCCACATTTAAAAGTCTTTAATTTGAAACGTAAAATGAATATCTACACCCTTATTATTCCTCTTCTTCCTGAGGCTTGAGATAGATAATCCCTTAATTTCTCCCGCTTTTCCGAATAGCACCCATCACTGAAATCCAGCAACTCAGTCAGCCTGAAATCTGGCTGTGTCGTTTCCAGTATTTGGGGCAACGATTACATGCTTCATCCCAGATCACCAACATCTTCTCAAGCAGATGGGCCCAACAGTTTGGGGGCAGCAGTTGGAAAAAAAAGAGCGTGCTGTAAGCCATGTCCCCTTTCCCACCTCCTTCATGCTCACAGTTTGACTGACTGGCATAACTGGAACAGACCCAACACTTCCTGACAGTCATCATTTTATGAAGTCTTTTTTTTTTTTTTTTTTCTCTTCTGAAAACAGAATAATTCTTAGTTCACCTAAGAAGGAGCTCTGGTTATAAAGACAAAATACACAGCATACACAAACTCTGTGTTACAGCCTGAACAACGGGAACCTATTTCCAGTTATTTTCTCTGTTGTATCAGAGATTAAACTGGCCAGTAGTTCAAGCAGATACAACAGAGAAAAGCAGTAGCTTAGCAATGATACAAGCACACTAGTAATTAAGCTTCACATAAA